GTTCAAATTGTGCTTTTATATCCAAAATTTCTTCACTTAATTTCTCAGAATTGCTTTGTGTCTGTTCATGATTTCTTTGCATTGACTCTTGCATCAATTTTAGTGTGGCCTGTATTTCATTTTGGGCAGTGCTTATTTTCTCATGTTGCAACATTGTTTCAATAGATCCCTGAGTTGTTGGCTAGGTATTCCAACAGAGGGTGCAGAGGAAGTCTTCTTCATAAGTTTGGAAATATTTGATGTGCTCATTTTTCAACCAACAGTCTTAACGTAAAATCCAAAGTGTGAAACGGAGCCAGCTGTTTTAGGCCAAATCCACCTCCTCCAGTCAAGTCTGAGATGTAAAGTGTTCACTATAAAGCATTCACTGTCTCCAAATAGTTCCTGTTTAGTTATATCCAGAGTCAACAAATATAGTTATGAGAAATCTTTTCCATTGTAGACTTATGCCAAGGCACTTTGTTTACACCAAGTGTTGTTCAAGGTCAAATAATTCTAGAATTTTTTAGTATTTAATAATACTGTTATTTCTTCTTTTGCCACTAGATGTCCTTGTACACTCATGCCTGATTTTAGAAAGTTTTTGCAAGGTCTTTCTTTTAAAGTTCTTTATAAGTTATTTATCCTTAAGATTATATCTAGAAAGTTTTCACTTCTGTAGATTAGATAGTCAGTCCTTTGAATCAATCTGAATTCAATTTTTAAGAGTTATTTTAAATATCTTCCCCTTTTGTAGTTGCTCGCTGCTTTTAAATCTCAATCCTTCTGGGGGTCTTTGTTCTTTAGCTCTTCCCCATCAGGGGCTCAACAATTTGTAATCCACAAGGAAAAGAAAAAAAAACACACTGGCTCACCCAGTTTCAGCACGCTGTTGACAATCAACTGTTTAGCGGAGCGCTGGGGCTCCTCGCTTTCCTTCTGGCTGGAGATGACTTGGGCTGCCTTGGCTCATCTGGCAGCCTTTCCTCCGTCCTTTCAGAGGATTTCTTCAGTCTGCTCCGATTGGCTGCCGCCTGATCCAAGCTCCTGGAGTGTCCCTCCTTCTTCATTGCCCCTCCAGGGCAACTTTCTGACCCTTTTAGGGTCGTTGGGCAAAGTGAAATCGGGCTGAGAAGCGGAGCCCCTGCTTCTTTTACCCGTCTCATCGGCTGCCAAAAACCGGAAGTCCCACTTTAGACAATTCTAAAAGTCTGATTAAGCTCAGGATCAGGAGTCCAGATTTAATGCATACCTTATCAATTATTGGCTCACTAGCTGTCAGTGCTGAGGGGAGTAAGGGCTGCAACTTATATTGAATCCTATGCAGTAACAAAAGACTTTCAGTTTTTGGATCCTTTTAGCTATCTCAAGATTTATTTGCCTTAAAAACTTATTTTACTTTGTGCTTCTGAATATTAAAGAAGATGAAGCTGGGCTTCCATGAATTGATTGCTGAAAAAGAAAATGGCACTATATTTTTTACAGCCTTTAAAAAAAACTGTGGTGAAAAATTGAAGAGGAATATTTTAAGGATATGCCTTGCCTGGCATAGCACATTTCCTGGTCCAGGGCTGAGTAGGGATGATGGGATTTGTAGTCCAGAATATGAGAGGGCACTTGGGTAGGGAAATGTAACATTTATATTCCTTATCAGCAGCAAGACCAAAAACTATTTTCAAACATAATATTTAAATAATATTTTGTCCTACATACTGAATGCTAAAAGCATGAATGTATCTTTGATTTAAAAACAAGCTTGATTAATTTCTAGATTGCCTGAACAGGGCTGATACTAAACAAATATTAGGCAGAATAGTAATCTTAGCAGTGCCTAAGGTGATGTGCAAAGACGGGCAACACGTATAAATTTCACCCTAATGCTGGTGTTGCGACTTCAGTCCATGCATATTTATTTAGATGTCAAATACATCAAGTTCTGTGGACTTTATTCCTAATTTTCCATAGGATTACATCTAAAGCCTCTCACTGATGCTTCCTGTAAAGACAGTAATTGCCGAGTGTATTTCTACTTCTGTCACACCAGAGGGAGTGTTGGCAAAGCAATGTTGAAAAGAAACAGCCACTGTTTACAACATGTATGAGAGTTAAACTAAATGCTACCAGAGATCTTTCATCACTTGTAGTTAAGCATAGCACACATGCCCTGGCAACCACCTTTTTTCTGCTGTAGCTCCACAACATTACCTTTATCTCACCTACAACTTATTATTGACACAGGTTTAAGTCATCCTTGGATATACAGGTGTTAAAAGTTGAATTTCCCCCTTTATTCTAAAACTGTGCAAGCCATGTTCAAGATGTACAAAATCTACTAGACTTTGTTGTCTTGGAAGGAAGGAACTTAAGAAACTACACTTATTTAAACCCAGTAGGGACAGGATACAGACCAGGAGTCACTATAGCAAATTTGATACTGGTCTAGTTTTGTTTCTCAAAAATGCCTAGAAAGCACTTCAAAGCCAGCAGTAGGGAAAGGGTTTGCTGGAAATATAGAAGCTGAAAGCCGACACATCTGGAAGCCAGAGTACGGGAAGGCTGTGTTAACAGCAGGGCTGCATAGCAAATGAGCTAGAATTCCTTAGCATCATGACAGTGGGGGTAGGAGGGAGAAATTCATTTGTTCCCTTTCTGCTGCAATTCAGGTGAAAATTTCTTCCAAAGTTGCAGTTTATATTTCAAGGGAAGTTTCTGCTGATGTCAACTGTGGGTTTATCTGAAACGTAAACAGCAACATCAGAGAATCAACAGAATGGAAAACAGTTAAAGAAAGTGCCGGTGTCCCTTTTCAGCTCATAGATAGGCAACTTTGGAAACACTTTTTTTTGTGTGTGAAAGGATTAAAAAAACAAATAAATAACATCAACAAAAATTTAAAAACAATGAAAAGGACACAAGAGTTTATATGACAAAACAGATCTTATAAGACTGGAGTATTTTGTGAAATTTCTGCTATTTTAATTTTTTATAAAGGGGTTGCAAGTGCCATAGCATAAGCCCTGAATTTAAAGTATTTCTCTTCACTCCATGCTTGTGGCAGTTCAGGCTGCGTTATAATCTCCATTTACATAACAAAGAATATGCCTATTAATTGTGCTCATTACAAATCACGATCTCTTGTTTGTCCCAAATACCAGGTAAACACCCTTGCATCAGAAACAGGAATCCTCTCTGCTTGAGATGCTAAACTATGTTGGAGAAAAAGTCAAATCCAGCTGAGCTAAGGAAGAGACAGACATAGATGCAAGGAAAGATGCAAGCAAACCACCTGTGTTGGTTTGCAGCTGTTACACTAGGTCTGGTAGAGTTGTGGTGGTGAAGACTCTTTCTTCTTGCATCACTAACACTACCAGAATAGCGAGTCAGGAGAATGACCAGGTAAAACCACAGGTGGGAAAATAAGGCTATAAAATACATAGATACATAGATGCACAACTGGAAGCTACGTGTAGCTCCCAAAGACCTTGGATGCTGCTGCTTGACCACTTTCCAGACTGCCAGCAACTTATACATAACCCTGTTCCTAGTCTTGTTATGTCTGCAGGAGAATGAATGGGTGACTTTACAAGATGCTGGGGGGGGGGGGGCTTGTGAGATGGCATTTTAGTGCAGTGATATATGTATTACCAGCTGAATGGAAATTTCACTTTTTTACTACATGGAATTTTTTCTTGACTGGAGCAGTGACAAAAATATTATTGGAGTTCTCTTCCCTCCACTTTCTCCTACCTGCTGAGAAAGGACAGAATATTTTTCTCAAATTTCAAATTGCTACCACCAGGTTGTGCTACAACCCTTAGTGAGAGCTCTGTCCTTCTCCTTCCACCCTCAAATGCCTAGTAGTGCAAACTGCTTTCTAATGATATTTTCTTCCCATACACCAGCAATCTTGCCCACCCACTCTTAACAAACCTTCCCAATTTTCTTCAAGTATTAGTTTTCTTGGCTGAAGCTGGAACATGTGAAAGTTATTTATTTCCAGGATTTTTTTTTTTAAAAATAACAATTTTGGCAAATAAAATAATTTTTTGGGAGTGAAAAATTGCTTATGGCTTTGCAAAACCAAAGATGGCTTTGGAGAATCTAGTAAGTGGGAAAAAAAGGAAATCATGATTGTCATATTTTTGGCCAAAATATATTAGGAGATTTATTTGTATCCACAAAGAAGAATAAGAGTTTTGTTTGGGTCCTTCTCAGAATAAAGCTGTTCCTTGAGACAGTGCAACAACATAGTCCCACCCAGCTCCCTTGAGTTCTTTATATCTTTTCTGATGCCAAAAATGAGGGAGGGGGATCAATAGAGTGAGTTTTCCTCCATATAGTTGTAAAATCAGAAAAAGAAATACGAAGGAGGCCCATCAGAATTCAATCAGTGTGGTCTAGTTGTTAAAATTTGGCCTGGGATAACCAAGTTCAAGTCTGCATTTGACCTCAGGGTAAGTTTGGGATAGTCACTCTCAACCAACCCATATCAAGGGGCTAAGGATAGGGGATATTTTATGGGGATAAAATTAGGAGAGGATGGCCATCCATGCCATTTGGGAGTTTTCAGAAAAAACAGGGATCTAAAAGTCCCTTTCCTTTTCCATTACAATATTTGTTTTTCTAGAGCCGTGGTGGCGAACCTATGGTACGCATGCCACGGGTGGCACGAAGAGCCCTCTATGGACACGCGGGCCGTCGCCCCTATCCTAGGCCTTCAGCTGGGTTTTATAAAACCTTTTCGCTTTAGGCCTCCGCCGCCATGTGCAAAAAAAAAAAAAAAGTTCAATCAATTTCAACTTCTCGCAGGAAAAAAAAAATCTCACAAAGTTGGAATTGATTGATTGAACTTTTTAGTCCCACCCAGTCTGCCATTACCACCACAGCCATGCCCACCTAATGGGCCACATCCACCCCAATGGGCCATGGCCACCCAATGGGCCACACCCACCAATGGGCCACACCTACCTGGCTCCCCATCATACATAAGTGGGTTTTGGGTTGCAGTTTGGGCACTCCGGTCTCTAAAAGGTTCGTCATCACTGTTCTAGAGCAAGTATCATTAATGGGGGGGGGGGGGAGCTTGCTACTCTAGGAAGGCATCTGTGATTAATTGTACAAATTTCTGCATTGAAATTATAGATATGGCTAACACGGTTCAAAAGGAATCCTTTTTTTTTTAAAATTTGCTGCCCATTTGTTCTCCAGAGAAAGAGAGCCTAGAGAAAAAAAAAAATACATCCCGCTCTTATTCTCATTATAAACCTACGGGGTAGGTGGGATGTTTAATTGAGAGGTACTGAGTAGGAGGAGTGACGAGAGGGAGGAGGCGGAGGAGGGACTACGAACCCTGAAAAGCTTGAGAGTGCCATAGCTTAAGAGAACGGGAGACAGCGCTACCCGGAGCAGGCTGCACTTCCACTACTCCGCCTAACCTTCGGGAGAGCGAGAGCCGAGAGGGATCGAGACCGGAGACGTTCATTTGGCATAAAAGTGAAGACGTTCTCTCGGTTTAAACAAATAATAATAATAATAATAAGGAAGCGAGATCGAGCAGGGAAACGAGAGCCAGAGTTCTTCCTTCTCTCCCTTTACGCTCTGAGAATCTGCGATTCATTCTTCTACTTGCCCATTATTTATTCCCCCTTCCCCTGATCCGCCGAGAAATTTCTTCGCTTAAAGAACTTGGATTTTGCCCTTTTTGGTGGAAGAAGAAAAAAAAAAAAAAAAAAGGAGGGAGGGAAGTTTTTTTTAAAGCCAAGAAGAAGGGGCCCGAATCGAACCGGGCTGAATGAAGCGTTCTTCCTCAAACTGCTGTTAAAACAAACCCAACCATCTCAACTTCAGCTGGGAAGCAGCGAGTCATAGCAGCTGTAAGATCCGAGACCTTGGAAAAGGGGGAGAAAAAAAAAATGCACTGAAAGTTTTGGCAAACTTTTCTTCTTCGTCTCGGTTTCTCTTTTTTTCCCTTTTTGCCCCGGTTGCTTGTGCGGTGGTGAGAGCGAGCGTGCTCGCGTGGGGTGTTTTGCCACCGAGGGCTGGAGTGTGTGCCTGGAGAGAGGGGGAAGAGGAAAATCGGTTACTATTCGCCGTGCTGCTGGGGAATTTGTTCTGGAGAAGCTCCGGATCGGAACCGAGCTGAGCCGAAGACCCCGAGCGCGCGGCAAAGCGAGGACAAACTACGTCTCTGGGGCCTCGGGAGAGCCGAGCTTATGGACGGGTGAAACCAGAGTCTAATATTCTCCCCCCCCCTCCCCCTTCAACCCCTTCAGCTTGATCACAGCGACCGCCGAGCAAAGGAGAGAAGGCTTAAGAGAACCCGACTCGAGCCAAGCCACCCTCGCTCCTGGAATCATGAACTTTCTGCTCACTTGGATCCATTGGGGGTTGGCGGCGCTGCTTTATTTCCACAACGCCAAGGTAAAGGGGGCGGGCGGGAGGATCTGGGGCGGCGGGGAAGCCTTCCTCCTTCCTCCTCCTCCTCCTCCTCCGCGTGGCCTGTTCGCCGCATGTTACGCTGAACGTGCGTGGCGAGCGCGAGGTGATAGCGGGGGGCCCCCCAAAGGGAGCCCACACACACACACACACACACACGCGTCGGATGAGCGGATCCGGAGGCGCCAGACAGACCCTCCGGTCGGGTTGCTCGCGCTCAGCCCGCCGGGGCTTGGTTGACCTTGTGAGGGCACGCGGCTAACCTCGGCTCGGCGGCTCTTGGGGGCTGCCGACAAAAGACCGGCCGCCCGACCCTTTTTGAGCCGAGCGAGCGAGCGAGCGAGCAAAGCCCTACGTTGTGTGCCTGCGCTGCCTGCGTGGGGCCTGCGCGTGCGATCGCAGGGCTGGGGAAAAAAAATAAAATAAAAGAGAGTAGAAGATCAGAAGCTTGTTTGCCCACCCTGGCAGGTCTGGCTTCCTTCTTGCCGTGTTGCCTAGGCTTAGAGACCGTTCCGACTAGGTTTCCTTCTCTTCCTGTCTGGGGAGCCTGGGTAGTTTGGAAACCTGGGTTTTGAAGGACGCCCTACGGAGGAGGCACGGCTCTGCGTCGTCACTGATCGGAGCATATAGGCCAGGGGTAGGCAACCTTGGCTCTTTTATGACTCGGGGACTTCAACTCCCAGAATTCCTGAGCCAGCTGCGCTGGCTCAGGAATTCTGGGAGTTGAAGTCCCCGAGTCATAAAAGAGCCAAGGTTGCCTACCTCTGATATAGGCTGACTTCTTGTAACAGCGGCAGCGCACGCTGCGCTCTCTCCCTCCCTCCCCCCCCCCTGCTCCTCCTGACATTGCAAAAGCGGTGTTTTTGGCTTGTTTGCTTTAGTTAGGCAGGTTTACTGACCGGAGTTCAAAATTCCTGGCTTGCAAAAGCAAACAGAGATCAAAAGACCGCCAAATGAATTCTGTGGCTCTTCCAGATTGATTTACAGATGGAACGACCCTGCTGAGTTTCCATAAATAAGAGCCCCCTTCTCTATACGGGTTTCCCGCTTCTAAACTCCTCTCATCTTCTTTATTCGGTTCCTTATTATAAAAAGTACGGGAAAGGCCGTTACCCGAAGACCCCACTAGCAGGAGCTTTTTGACTTGCTCCTTAAAGGAATCAAATAAGTTGGATGGGTGTAGCGTTTGTTTGGGTTTAGCTCCTGTTTGCTGTTAGGTAGTTAGTTGATTCCCAAGAAAGAAAGGGGATGCGGGTTAATTTTCCATGGTGGTTTTGCCTTTGGAAATTTAAGGGAGAGAAGTGAAGTCTTAAAACCCCCACTTCAAATGCAGGCATGCTGCCCTTTGCCACTTTTCATGTGTCTTGGAACAAAATCTTGTCGTCTATAGCCCATAGTCACTTGGTGGCATCAAAGTTAAACAAGAGTGTAGAAAAAGTTATAACTTTTTTTCCCCCAGCCGTAGATGTAAGATATCTGCCATTTCAGATTTGTCTGGTTAGATGTCACAAGCGTTCCAAGCTAATTTGTTCAAGTCCAGCTTTGCTGCGAGTGACAGCAGCACATTTAACTGAACAGGACAGGAGGTGTTTTTGAGGAAAACGTGTGAACAGGTTAATCTGAGATGGCCATGCTTGCTTTTTAAAATGATCCTCAGGTTATACGGTTTTACCAAGCTTACTCAGCCTGGGTTTACAGATTCTGTCATCCTAAACAATCTGGCCAGTGATAGGAGATTTCCACCAGCACGTTCAGATGTCACTAGATTAAGAAATCTGATTAATGCATGAAGTACTGTGGAGACAAGTAAAAACAGAATATAAAAAAAATACAGAGAGGGAGAATAGATGGAATGATCAGAAATATAGATGACTTTCCCCCCCAAATAAGTAGAGAGAGGATCCTCAACTCTTATGAACCCACCATCATTTGGGTAAATTGCTAGGTGCCATATTATAATATTATATATTACCAAGCCAAAGCAGATACAGTATATTAAGTATGAATCTCTGGGGAGCCCAAAATGAATGCATTTGCACTTCTTGACCTTAGTAAGTTTTGAAACAGCTTAAACTATATTGGAAACATGGAAGGAAAAAAACTGTTGGTAAGAAGAGAGTTAAGTTATTCTGTGCGGTGTGGCACCTTAAGGGAGCGTGGAAGACGAGTCTAATCTTTTGCTGAAAGTGAGATAGCATTAATGTAAGTTATTAGGGACTACTAATCTCTATTAATATATAATGCAAACTGATTTCATAGCTTTAATGCTTTTTTATTAATTATAAGGTAATGGTATTAGGAGCTGATTGTTTTATTTGTTTTACTGCTTTATTGGATTGCTTTTCACTGCCCAGAGTTGCTTTTGGTGAAATGGGCAGTTGTCTAAAATTGATAAATAAATAAAATATATCCAGCCTTGACTTGTTGAATAAAGTCATAGTTAACTTGTTTTATATATTATGTGAAGTTTTAACCCATGGTTGACACACCATAGTGGCTGGATTCAAAAAAAGCAATCGGTCAAAGCCAGACAAGTCACAGTATAGCTTAATGTAAGTTGTGAGCTCATAACTCAGGTGATGGAAATGCAGGCATTGATTTCCTCTTAACAGTTCATCTGTTGGCTGTAATAATGGTGCAGTGCCCCCCCCCCAGTGATTAATCACTTTTGAAAGTGTTACCCTTGGAGTGAAGCATGTGTTATTGGTGAGAAGACCCATGGATGAAAAGACTGAAGATCCAATCCAAAACCTGCCTGCCTTTAGTTTTGCTACATTGGCAATACTTAGTCCCCTGATGTAATCCTTTGTCATACCGGTACTAAGTTTGTTGCAGTGAGCAAGTCCTGGGGCTCCCTCTCAAGACATCTTTCTGGTAGGACTGAGCAAAGATCAAACAGTAAAGGGTGGAAACACGAGCGTGTGACCAGACTGCTAATGATCTCACAGCCATCATCAGCCTTTTGCTCAGGCCACACTGGGGCTCCTGCTTACGGCCCAGCTGCTGCTTCTAAGGGTCACCTTCCTCCTTTTAGCTATGCAGCTGAAGGTGGAAATCTTCTTCCCGATACAAAGTGGATGTTGCAGCCCTCTTTGGATGTATCCTAGTCATTTTCTGAACTCGTTTTCTCTCTCCTTTGTGCCATGTCAGAAATCCCTCCCTTATTGGGCCATTGCGCTTTCTTTCTCCTTAGAGTGCATAGCAGGGGGAGGAGGAGAGGGAGAACTGCAGCATTTAGGCAGAAAAAATTAGAGGAGGTTTTCTCTCCCCCCCCAGCACCTAGGATGGCATGGGTTTTTAACTCTAGTCCCAGGGGCCCTCCCAAAGTGGCTGGATTGTTTGCTCCAGTCCAAAACAGTTACAAAGCTCTTTTAATGAGGCTGCTGAGATTAAGGGGAGGGGGAGGAGAAAGCTAGAGAAAGAATGGTTTTGATGTGAAAGAATAGGAAGTATGTGTGTTTGTGTGTGTATGTGTGTGTGTGTGTAGAAGCAATGTACTGAGTTAACCTTTTACTTGCTTCGTATAGGAATGAGTAGGATATAAGAATAGAATTGCCAGCTCCCTGCCAACTTGCTGTTGCTCAAGCCTTAAAAGAGATATTTCTCCTACTGTCTGTGCTGCTGAAAACTCCTAAAAGGAGACCATTAAGTGTCTTAATGGGGAAACAATGAGTAAAACCTCAGGCCAGGGAAAAAGAGATGGGTACAAGCAATGTGACCTTCAAACGGGCACTTGTCCCTTGAGAAGAAAAGTTTGTTTTGTCCTTCCTTTGATGGGAACAGGGAACATTTAGACCCTTCATCTAAGCCCTGATACTTGGGTTAACGGAGACTGTCAGCGTTGGCCAGAGCAAATGTAATTCATCAGCATGGGAGCAGAGAAGAACCTTCAGATTTCTCAAATGGATTCAAGGTGACTCTGCTGTATAAATAGCTCCTAGATTCAAAGGCAAACGGCATGAGCAATGGTGTGAATAGATTGTACGTGATGGCTAATGGGGTTCCTTTTCCTTGTCTGATTGGTGAATATACTGCTTCCAGTTTCTGCTAATCGGGAAATAGTAGTCTAGCCTTGACAGGCAGTTTGAAAGAGAAAAAAAAGAGACAGATGGACACAGACCATACCAAGTCCCTATTTGCGATCTGGAATCTCTTCTAGTGATTTTTCAGGTCTCTTTCCTAAATACACACACACAGAGAGGCTTTGAGAGAAAGAGAGAAGGAGAAAGCTGTTTTGGACAAGGTGAAGAAGCAGCAGCAAGAAGTACCTCGGGGGCAACTTTAGGCCAGAAGTAAGGAACAGTTTCTAGACTGATGCCGCAGGACCCAAGCAGGGCTTTGAAGAATGAGAGCTGGGGGTGTCTCCTTCCCCAGAGCCCTGACCAAGTTATGGCAGGGCCGCATGCTTAGCTGCTCAGTCAGGGCACTTGCGGGCAGCATGTTTGCCACAGTCTCATCCTGCAGATGGAGGAATCCCAGGACAGCCTGCCACAGCCTGCTGGCTCATAAAGACTACGTGCTCTACGCGATGCTAGAGAAATGGGCGGACACCTGCCTGTCAAGGAGCTGTGGCAACTTGCCACCTCACCAGAGAGCTGCCTGTCTGAAGCGTCTTTCAGATGCAACAGAGGCTGTGCTCAGAACTGATTGTGGCAGCTTGCTGGCCCATGAAGGCCTTAGTGATTAAATTTTGACTCCCCCCTACCTTGTTTGTAAAGTTGCTGTGACCTTCACCCAGAGATAGAAAAATCTTGTCAGCTTAAAAAGGAACATTGTCACCTGTGTGCTGCTAGACTCCTGTCTCTGCAGATCCAAGTGATTCTATCTGTTGGGCCATCCAATAGATCAATCCTCCCAACTCCTGGAGTTCCTAGTCATTGGCCACGTGGGCTGGGAGTTCTTGGAAATGTCATCCCAAATCAGGTAGGGGATACCAGGCAACAAATAGATGAGCAGCATTGCATTCTTAACCTCTGTTACCTGTTGCTGACAGCCTAGTGAACCAGCTGGATTGCTCTTGAAATCCACTGGCTGATTCCAGACTCCATAATTTGCAGATCAGAAGGGCCTGATGGTTCTTCCTCTCTGCTGAAACTGTGGTAATGACCTTGGCTAAGTACCCCAGAGGTATGAAACACTGACATTCAGATTCCTTGTCATGTCATTTTTAGAATGTCACCAATATTGTTTTCTCTTTTGCCAGTCACCTCCCCTGTTCAGGTTTGTGTTGTAGATTTTAATCTTAATAATAATAAATGCTTTAAAGCAGATCATTCCGCTGCTTAGAAAAGTGAGAGTGCTATCCGAGAAAACTTTTTGAGTTCTCCTTTCTGTCCCATGTGCAGAAAGCAGACATACAAGCTAAATTGATTCTTACTAAATAGAGATCTTGCTTTCTCACATTTATATCCCAGGGGAATCTTCCTTGTCTAGAGTATGATAATAGCTTAAATCTACTTTTTCTTACATACTTAGAAAACGACAATTCAGTGTTTTGCTAGTGTAAAATCTCTATTTCCCCAATGTCTCAGTATATTTCTTAGCTGCCTTTTAGGCACTGAAAGTTCTGTGATATCTTTCTATAGTATCTTCCCCTGTAAAATAGCTCCATTAGCACTGAATCATAAAAGCAACTTAAATGTAGTCAGCCAGATAAAATGCAATTTCAAAAGTCAATGATTATTTAACCTTTTAGACAACAGGTAAGCCACAGTTTGCCAACTTGGCACTTTCCAGGTGTATGGAATCAAAGTGGGGATGCTGGCATGGCATACAACATTTTTAAAAGTAGCTGGACATGGAATCTGGCCATGTACAGTATATTTTATAGACCACCACCGAAACAAGCAAAAAAGTCTCCATTAAGTTCCATATTTCCAAGAAATGTTTGGTTCACAATTCAGGTGCATTTTCCTTCGGATTTTCTGCAGAGAAATGGGTATTAGAACATAATTGGCATATGCTGTTTTTGGTTTCCTTTTGTATTCTGCAAAGTACAACAGATTCTGACCTTTATTACTCAAACCTACAAAGTGACTAAGATCGAAAAAGACTTCAGGGTTTGTAGGCTGAGGACACCGGATTTGTGTTCTGATTAGTTCTATGTTGGTTTTTCAGGTGTTGCAGGCTGCTCCTGCCCAGGGGGATGGAGACAGGCAACAAGGTGAAGGTAAGTGCTGATAAATTCCCTGATAAATATAATGGTCCCTTTAAGAAAGTGTTGATGATTTGAAGAGGAGGAGATGAACTGGCACCAGTCCATTAGCTGGACCGCTGGGGAGGGAATCCTCACTTACGTTGCTAACATTTGGAAAATGAATTTATGGGAGGGTGTGGGATGAAGGTGGTGTTGGATTGTAATTCTGTGGACAGAAACAATGGAAGTGACTTCACTAACTGGAGTGAAGTAGACTAAAGATTTCCAGCATGACTACACTGAAAATGTTTAAGTGAAGACAGTGGGGGATTCTTAGTTGCCAGGTTTGACATATTGAGTTTCAAGATTTCCCAGGATTTTTTTTTTATTAAGCAGCTGCAGTTATGCACAACAGTATTTTGCTCTAAAGGAGAAATGAGATAACACCATGTTTTTATTAAACTTCAAAGAACAACCTTATCAACCCAGATGTGTTAAGCGTACAGCTGCAGATCACACAGGCTGTGAATGGCAGGAGTTCAATCTACATGGAGACTATCCAACTAAAGAAGCTTGTCAGGGAGAATATATTGGACTGGAATGTTGGCATTTTAGTCTTTTTTAAACCTTACTTAAAACTAAGATCAGACATCTCAGCAACTCTGGGAATAATAGTTGGAGGAATTTACCATGATTTTCAAAGTGAAGTCACTTTGAAAATTTCCTGTCTCTCATCTTTTTGCTGACAGACCTTTGACCCATGTTGTTTTGCTCAGACACAAAATAAAGTTACCAAACTATCAGTGCTTAAGTTTCCAAGGATCATGGCACTGGCCAACTGAAAAGATAATTTTCAGAAACAATTATGAGAAGGTTGATCCATCTTTTAAAAGGCCACAGTGCTACATGCCTACAGGGAAATATGCCCTACTGAAAGTAATGGTGATTTCTTCTGCATAAATATGTGCAGCATTTGCTGTTGGTGTGTTCAGAAGAATTGCCTGCACCTTAAGAGAGTCTGGGAGCATTTTTGCAAATAGGCCATTTATAACCAACTGCACTTGCTGCATTGTTGGACATTTTATTTGAGTATGTCAAAAAATGGAGTAGAATGGAAGCTCCATTGTACTTTTAAAATTTTAGATCAGCCATGTCCTGAATCTGCATCTGTGGAAATGATTGCCCACACTGGATGGGGATTATGGAAGCTGCAGTTGGGAAGCTATCAGGTTGAAGTAGGTTGTTACAAAAAATTCTGTTATGTCTGGAGCCAGGATCCTCTGATTTTGGCAGCGTGGGTCTAAATGCATTTGTCTTTTAGCCAAACGCTTATTAGACTTGGGTCTTGCAAGAAATTTCTCAGAAAGAAATTCCTCAGCAAAAACATAATTTGTGAAAATATTTAGCAACCTTCAAATCTTATACAGTCCTTTGCAAAAATATGTGGCAGGAAGGAAGGAAAGGAGGAGATGTAGAAATCAGGCATACTACAGTAAAGAAATTGAGAGGGATTCAGGGAATAAGCTACTGGCAAGAGGGTAGCACCTATTGTTTCACAGTACAGAGAGCACCAGTTTAAACTTAGTATCAATCCTCACAGCCTTTGAAGCTTCAGGCAGTAGAAGTTCACCTAACCTGGGAGATTCCACAGAAAACAACTTGCTTTCCACAGTGTGAAATTCTGCTGTGGAATCTCTTTAGTTTGGGGCATTCAGGGAGTGGCACTTGCTGCTGTTCTTAGAGCTAGACAGCAGCAGGGGGCGCCCTTTTCTCTTACCACGGTTAGTTTCAGTTGCAATCAGGTTTTTTGGCCTGGTGAACTTGGAGGAGTGTTGTCAGAGTCTCAGGGGAGCATAACTTTGTAAGAGCACACCCTTATATTGTGATCTAATTGCTGTTCTGCTTTTAACATTTTTTTGCCCTGAAAATGAATACATGGTGGTTCCTTTTCCTGTGTATGTGAGAAAACAACTTCATGGCAGGTTGATCTTTAAACTGCTTGGCCCTTTATCTTGAACTGCCAATGCATGAATAACATTCAAGCATTGGCTTGTATTTTGTGGTGTTAGTCTGTCACAAAGGAGTTGTTTGGATTTCTTTGAGCTCCGGGACTGATACAAACTCTGCGGAATGCAGTATTTCAGAAAAGGCCAGCAAGGGTTTTGCAGGTTATCATAATTACATTTTTCCTTCTGCTTAAAGGTTAGGCGTTATGTCACCTAGTCAACCAGTAGCCAGATAAAACCAGGCTTTCTGACTGAGTCCTGATCTGATTGACATAATTGAATATCAAGAGATGTGATTAGCAAGCAACTGCAAAACAGTTGCTGCAGTAACGTTGCACAACTAGGTATAAAGATCTGAGGTTTCTGCGGGACCATAGAATAGCTTATTGGGGGGACTCATAGTGAAGCTTTAAAGATGCAGATGATCAAGTTGCACTATTTAAGACTTCACATTTTATTACATGCTAAACTGCAAATGAGAAGGCCAGCAACCGAGTAATTGTCTCTTTCTGCTGTGTATCAGTGACCAGTCTCTCTTAAATAGAGGTTGACAAATATCTCTTAATTTCTCTTGTTCTTGCATTTGTATCTTAAAAGTTAGAATAGTTAGAGTACTCTGTTATTTTGCACCATTTTTCTTGTTTGAATATCATTCATATGAAAGGATAGAATATAGAATAGAGCTGGAAGGGTCCTTGGAGGTCTTCTAGTCCAGCCCACTGCTCGAGCAGGAGAAGCTATACCATTTCAGACAAGTGACTGTCTAGTCTCTTCTTAAAAACCTCCAATGATGGAGCACCCATGATTTCTGGAAAGCAACAAAGCAATTTCTTACCTTTTTTCTGCTGTTGTGGCTGCATTGAGTCTGCTTTTGTAGTGTTCTGTTGCTAACAGATTGGCAAGTTAAGAACGTTACTTCCAAATGAGGCAGAAGAATAATGCTTTTTTCTAGAATTATCTTAATGGAGTGTGCCGGCAATGGAGTTTACTATTCTAGGTATATTCTAGGAGGCATTCTGTGTTTGATATCATTGAGATACTAACCTAAATTTCATGTAATTCATAATTACATAAGAAATAGGCAAAGAACTCAGAAATAAGAAGGTGCCTCTATTCACTTTTCATATCATTATAATTATCAGTTTTTAGAAGTTGATAATTCTCCCACTGTCCTTCCCCCTTCTCATATTTATACATTTGAAAGTGATGAAGCAAAAATAAAAACTCTGTAGAAGATTCTAAATGTCTGCCAGCTATTATGTGGAGATAGGATGCATCTCTTTGGATGATCCACAGATTATAAAAAAAAAAATCCTAAATCATTTAGGACAGCCATTTAGTTATCTTTAGATAGGTGGCGAGATGGGCGGTACGTAAATTTAATAAATAAATAGTTTGTGATGAAGTTAAAAGGTAAATTAGTTGCTCAGGCAAAGACAATAGGTACCCCACGATTTTCATACTGAGCTCTATTTGGGGATACATCCCCTGCAGTGTGTACGTGGGTCGTAAGATTTCATTACATGGAAAAAAAAACTGTTGAATTTGTTTCACAGCATGAGAGTCAAGTGTTTGAGATGCTCAGTCTTTGTCTTTGTCCATTAGTTTTCTTCTGAATGCAGATGCATAAGGAGGTAGATAATAATGCTTTCAACTCAGCGTTATTATGACAAAGTTTCTTGTGTTCTTAATGCTCAGAAAGAAGTGAATAATCAGCAAGGTGTTACATGTCTGGCTATGTGCCGACAAGTTTTCCCAGACACTAAATTGTTTAATTCTCCAGTTTATAGATAGCTGCATTTTAAGGTTAAGGTCAACCTGAAGGGGAATAAGGAAGAGTTGGCCCACACTAATCCCACATGTCTTGCTAGAGCTTGGACTGGACAGAAGTTTGCTGTGGATGGAAGTACTCCTTTTGAGCTGGAGATCGCCCATCACTACACATTTTCTCTCTCTGAGCAACTGTCTCTTTAAATAGGCACTTAGGCTGGGCAGCCGGTAGAAATCCCGGGCAGGCTTCTCCTCAGATGGTGGCCCTCTCAGTCCCACATGACCAAGAATTAACTTTCCGCAATTATCAAGAGCACTCTGTCTCTCCTTCCCTCTCCCCACCCCCAGCACGTGCCTGCGCTTCAGTGGAGCAACCTTTATGCTGGTTTGTCACAGGTTCAGGACTGTTCAAAACGCTTACTGGTTTCTGTTTTTTCCATGATGCAAGCAATTTGTGCTTTTTATCACACTGGGTTATCAACGTAGACACTGCAGGCCTTGGAAGGCAAAAAAACACTTAGGTCGAACAGTAATCTCCTGCCTCTCTAAGGGACTCCATTAGCTACTTCTAATGTGCTTGTTGGAGGAACAGGCAGAAGCCCGTGTTTTGTTTAAAAGATCTCTTATTTTGTTTGGAAGACAGATTTTGTACTCTTGTATTGAGCCATGCGTCTCTATCTCCTGCTTCAGTTTTGCAATGAATCATTAGTTTTAGCCTAGTCACGGTAGGATTGTGTGTGTGTGTTTGTATGTATGTATAAAGGCTGGGGGCCTTGCATTCTCTCCCCCCCCCCCCAATGTTGCATAAAAAAATTGGACTGGAGTGATTTTTAGTTTCATGCACCTTTTCCTGCATATTTGGATCAGCCTTTCTCAACGCTAACTGTGGGCTGTCCAGATGCTTTGGACATGACAGCTAGAATTTCAGCCATTAGCCATGCTGGCTGGTAACTGATGAAGGCTGAGCTGATGTTGGTGGCTGGGCTGGAATAAAATACATAATTTCTCTGGTAGAACCTCCCCCGCTTTATTGAAGAAGGTAATCTATTCTAAACGCCTTTCTAACATTAGAACTTAATAATAAATATCATAACGAGGTAGATCTGGAATAAATAAGGCCCACTGAAGTTCTTTTGAACTTAGTTTCAATTGGATTGTACCTCAGTCCAATCCAGAATTACTCATATCAAATTCTACAATAATTGAAGCAAATGATGAGGCCCTTTGTGTAAATATGAAATTATGAAAATGTTTTGCTAGCCAGCCAGAGTGCACAACCCAGAATGGTGACAACATTTTTGGAGGGAGTAAGGTGATTGTTTGCTCCTTGTAGTTTACAAACATGAATGAGGGGCATTTCTGTGCTGGAGTAAAACTAAAACTAAAACATTTTGGAGAGGGTCAGGAAATGGTATGGCGTGGGTTTATGGAAGGGAGCAGGGCCTTCCCTCCCATTAAGTTCCTTGATTTTTGTGCTGAAAACTGCATGACTAGAGTCTAGAATGAGCTTCTGCTTCTTCTCTGGCTACTTTTTGTATAGTCTTGGCAGTAGCATAGGGCCAGAAGTTAAAGGAAGAAGCATATTTTCCAGCTACATGGCACTGTGTGACGATTCCTGGAAAATGTGATATCCCCACTGCAGAAAATTTTCTGAGGAAATTGAATCTGTTAGGCTAACATCAAATAGGAGCTGAGGTATTTTACATGTGAAGGGACACTGTGTTGGAACCTCTGGGTTTGTGAAATGACCAGGTTCTGTGTCCATTCACTTCAGGGTAAAGTGTCTCTAACAAGCTGCCACCATGCCATGAGATTCGTGGTCTTGTGAATCATTTTTATTTCCCTCTTGCAAATGCATTCAATGTCTAGCTGGTTAAAATTCAGACAAGACAGATGCTAAACTTGTCAGTGATTCATCATATCTTGCTCATCCACAATCCCTATAGTCTGCCTTCTTAGGCTTTAAGTACATTTTAAGTAGGCTAATGCATTACTGAGAGCCTGTATTTTGCTGAGCCTGTTGGGTAAGAATCCAGTAGAAGGGGCAGACTTAGTGGTCCTTGTGTCTTAAGTCTATGTGTATACTATATTGTAATGTTAATGTTAGACTTCACAAAATAAGTGTAACTAATCCCTCCTTTTCCTTTCTCCCTTCCCTTTGTTTTCTAGTTATCCCATTTATGACCGTCTATGAGCGCAGTGTCTGCAGGCCAATTGAGACCATGGTAGATATTTTCCAGGAGTATCCTGATGAGGTGGAATACATCTTGAAACCACCCTGTGTGGCCCTGATGAGATGTGGAGGATGCTGTAATGACGAAGCGCTAGAATGTGTGCCTACAGAGCTGTACAATGTCACCATGGAGGTGAGACTGTGGTTAAACAGTCAAGGCGACTTTTGACCTGCAGTTTTGTCTTGTTTTCTTTAATAAATTCCACTATGGATGGTTTTTATAATTTGGGAAGGATCAACTGGTGGTCTTGGACCACATCCAGCTCCTAATATAACCACTTGTATCTGTTGGGTGTGGAAAGAATAGAGAAGGATGAATCATAGAATTATAGGACTGGAAGGGACACAGAAGTCTTCCAGTCTAACTCCTAGCTCAAGGCAGGAGCCTTATCTTATCCCAGTTAAATGGTAAATGTCCAGTCTATTGAAAACCTCTAGTGATAGAGCACCCACAGCACCAGGCGGTGAGGTATTCCATTGATTAATTGTTCTCACTGTCAGAAAATTTCTTCTTACTTCTAGGTTGCATCTCTCTTTAACAAGCTTACATCCATTACTTCCTGCCCTTAGAGAATAAATAAATCCCCTCTTCTTCGTGACAGCTCCTCAAATAGTAAAGACTGTTATTATGTCCTCTCCCCCCTCCCCCCAATCCTTCTTTTCAATAAGCTAGACATGCCTAGCTTTTACCTATTTTTAACGTGACCAGAGTAACGTGACTAGGTCATGTTGTTCCTGGGCAATATGAGTAGGTCAGAAGTGCTTCCTGAGATTATAAAAAGTGCGGCCTAAATATAAAAACAAAAACAAAAGTACCCCCCCCCCAACAAAACAGAACAGAAAAGTAATTGCCCTGGTGGCCTTTGTTATTTCAAGAACTATAAATGTGGCCTTGGCTACTGTGATGCTCTCATGTTCTCCAAAGGGAATGATTGTGAAGTGAAGTGATGCTTTATACACATTAATTTAAACCTGAATATAATTTCCCCTGAAAATTCAGAGACCACTTTTTGCCTATACTTCTATATACATATGTACACACAGAGAGACATATAGATTATATACTCATGTAATAACAACCTACATTTCAAGTTTCCGTTTCCTGTGTGTGCTTCACTTTCTAACCATTTTAAAAGGTAGTTTGCCTGATAAACTAAATAGACAGATTACTTGCCCCAGATCTGTTGTTCTATATATACCTTGCTTAATTCTCTTTAAATAACATCCACATTTTAGAATCTATATACCGGTATCAAAGGATCTGTGTGAGTTAGCCAAGACCACTTCGTAAGGCAATCTGTTTTGATGAGCAGGGCAAAAAAAATCTTTTAACCTTTAAACTTGTGGACATGAGGCCTATTTAGGAAGTAGTCCTTGTTGAATGACTGCCTCATTTAGTGATTGTTTGCAGGTACTATAGGGATGAAAAAGTAACTTTATAACCAATCTAATTTGCGGGTTTGTAAAGCAAAGGAAAACTGAAGCAAGATAATAAACATAGTCATGGTTTCACCTAATGACCGATTTGATTAACAACCAATTTGCTAAACCCAATTGTGATTGCTAAATGAAGACTAATTGTACTTTTTTTTGGCATGGTGATTCATATCAGGAATTTGGCATTTCTTACTGCTTTTGAGCATTTTCCAATACATTCCTGCTCAAAACTGAGTCCCATGAGTTTAGAGCAGTGTTTCTTACACTTTTAAGATGTATGGATTTTAACTCCCAGCATGGCTGGCTGGGGAATTTTGGTAGTTGAAATCCACATATCCTAAAGTTGCCAAGTTTAAGAAATACTGGTTTAGAAGGTAAAATGAGGATAGGATGGCAACGTAAGAATGCTAACTCATCTAGCCTTCATTTTGCCCCCTCTGTTTTACTGCGTTATTTTGCTTATTTGTTTTGTGAGATGGCTGTTGAACATTACCCATTTGGGAATGCAACTCACTGTCCCTCTTTTTTCTTTCTCCCTTCTATTGCATTCTTTCCTTCTAGATCATGAAACTCAAACCCTATCAGAGCCAGCATATACATCCAATGAGCTTCCAGCAGCACAGTAAATGTGAATGCAGGTGAGGACAGAGAGCTTTTCTGATTGAATTTGGAGAAGGATTATACAATTATACCAATAGTACCCAGCTGGTCACCTGTATCCACCTATTCACCCAAAATCTTGTGGTCTTATTCTGTATTGGGAAGGGTTTTTTCCTTGCTAGCCATAGGCTTGGTAATTTAATCTATATTGATTGACAGATGATGTACATTTACTGTCCAGTAACGGGAGGGCTTTAACTTTTCTTCTTTAGAAACCTCAGTTACATCAACATTGCTTCAGCAAGAGAAGCATTCCTTATGGGTCTGCATCTGTGTCATAAAATGAATGTGTGGGTATCTGGTGTGTTTACATGCTCTCAATCTCTGTCATGGAAATTTCACTGGCTGCTTGGTACATTCTTTGGGTAGGTGCAATTGAGAACCAGCAGCTAGTTAAGAAACATTGTATTGCTGTTTTGCTCCAACTGAGTAAACAGGTGGTTAGGTTTTGCCTATGTCCCTAGGTGCTCTGATCCCTTAGCCCCCAACCTTTGTATTATAAGTTTACATGATCACGAAAACATGATTACAATCAAGAGAGCTACTTTGGTTTAATGGTGCAATGGCTAAAGTGCTGGACTAGAATCCCAGAGACTGCAAGTTCTAGTCCTCTCTTAGGTGTGAAAGTGAGTTCAGTGACTTTGGGCCAGTCACTCTCTGCAACCTAAATCACCATACAGGTTTACTATGGGAAAAATAGAAGGCAGAAACATTGTATATTTTGCCTTGAGTTGTACAAAATAACAGTGGGATATAAATCTAATAATAAATAGATCCGTATAAGGCAGAGCTCTTATACGGATCTATTATTTTCATGTCAATATGTACAAAATCTCCCTTCAGATTTTGCTATTTAGTCAAATGTTGGGCAAAGGGAAATAGAGCTGGGGATATTGGGGGCAAGGCCAAAAGATATGACTTTTTAATGCATAGATTTAGGCATAACATCTGAACAGTGTTTTAATTTGATCAGAAAGAAATGTGCTTTCTTTTCTGGCCTTGGCTGTCATAATTAAGGCCAACTTCAACAACCAGATGATCCTATGGTGTTTTAAGCTTGTGCTGCCAGATAACATTGCCAGTGGACAAGGATAATGGAACTGGTAGTCTGGAACATTTGGAAGGCTGAAACAGGCAGTGCTGGAAGGCAGAAGAGCATCCTTTATTAAGTTTTCTGCTGAAAGTGGGGTGGTAAAGCGTGGATGTGATCTTTATATTTATTGCTAGTTCTCTTCTAATCCTGCTTTTTCTTTTCTTCCGTTGTAGACCAAAGAAAGAAACCAGAATTATACAAGAAAAGTAAGTGACTTGGATTATATCCCTCCCCTAAGTTGGTGCTGGTGATCTTCCTCCTTTCTTTCTTAGATCACTACAAATAAGAATTGGTTGTTGCTGTTCTTTAAAGAAATCAAGTGTTCATCTAAAGAATTATATCTTGAATCCATTCCTCTTAGCTACAGTCACACATGTAGCTTTGACAGCTGTGGTTCCTTTATGCTTTGAGGCCATTTTGAAACTGTTTACTTATAAAAATATGTCAGGAACAGCATGGAATTAACCGAAAGCTTTTATCCCTTTTCAACTGGATTCTAGCTGAAATTTTCCTTCACATGCATTTGACCCCATTGCCCTCCCATCTCTTTGCTGCTTTGATGAAAACTTGCTGATGTTTACAGCAACTTTCATAGATACCTAACATTAAGGCTGTGCATGGAAGCTCTGCTATCTCACTTAGAACAAGGGAGTTTTGCCCTTTCACGAACCAAAAGTCATGTACGCCCAGTCAAAGAGTGGGTACGGTTCTGATGTGAATTAACTTCGCATATCAATCATGGAAGGTGGAATAAAGAGAGTCATTTTATCGCCAGCACTCCCCAGCATGGTGCCTTTTATAGTGCTTTTGGAATATCTATCCCAGGCTATTGGTGTTGCAGTCTGGGGCCAAGCAGATAGTAGTTCAAAGCATCTGGAAATACTGCATTGTGGTGACTGTAGATGAGTTGTGTGTGGGAATGGAAGTAGCTGATCTTGTAATGTGAAACTGACATCTACCTTGAGACTTGTGTAGTATTATTGAATGATAAAATAGAATTCTTCCCTGTACATTAGCCAGCCTAATCAAATATGGATATACTTTTTCAATTTCTAGCTTAAAAATAAATGCATGTATCCACTGTGAGGGTATATTAAGATGGTTTATGGTCTGCGAGTTGGCTTGGAAGCTGGGGGAGAAAGAGAGAGAGAGAGAGAGAGAGAGAGAGAGAGAGAGAGAGAGAGAGAGAGAGAGATAATGGGGATTGGGGAGGATATTTTTAGTTAGTTGTGCTGTTTTCATACATGTCCTAGCTTAATTGAATTCTCATGAATTCACATTGTGGAGCCATCAGTGGATTGCCCGGGGAAATACTGCTAGCTTGGCTTATACCCTTCTGGTGCACATGTTATTCAGCTGAATGGCAGAGTGACTCAGAGATGTAAGAGTGTTGTGATTGAGTGAGCACCGTGGCCACAGTCTTCCCTCTGGGACTATAGCTTTCCACTCCTTCAGGTGGCTTACTTTGCTCTGCAAATCTCCATATCGGTATCGGGTTCCTCTGGTTTGGGTTAAGCTGAAATTCCTCTTAATGCTTGATGCCTTTTTTCATGGTGTGCCTCTGGATGAATGTGGCATTAATGAATGTAAAACTTTGTGAAAGTTTCCTGACGTAAACATGCTTCCTCTGCCCTGCTAGTAATTTCTGTGTTCTTGTGATGCTTACTTTGCTTGTGGTTAGGAGAGAAAAACTGATGCCAACCAAGAGGCTTGAACAAGATCCACGGCACATCCTGTCCATTAACCTCAGGGACTTCCTCCTTTATTACAGCAACTCCTTCTTCTAAAGTTTAAATAAGCTGTTAATTCTAGGAAGAAAGGAGTACTTTTTGTATTAGGTTTTGTCCCAAGAATATTGCGTTTTTCCACGTGCATTTCTCTCAGAGTCTACTGCTGGAGCAGTAGGTGCTAAGTTTCACCTGATTTTCTCCTTGGCTGGGATTGCTGCTCTAGGTCTGTGCACATTATCAAAAGTACACAGGAAGACCTTAATGTGTGTGGGTAGGAATTTGCCTTGCAGAACGTCCCAGGGTTTTTCTAGGCAGAGCTGAGAAATCACTTGCCTGACTTTGGCGCATAGCGTAGACAATATTAAATTAGATGAACTGGCAGACTGTTCAGTACAGTTGGTTTCTTAGGATCACCGTTTTTAATGAAAGGGTGGAAAACCAAACCTATACATTACTTTCTCTGGCATTTGCAGCAGGGAAGGGGGCTCAGATTCTCTGTTAAAAAATACCGTTGTGTTATCTTCCAAGGAATGATAGTTAGATTAGCCCCATTGCCTTACCTCACAGTGTAGAAGTTGGATATATTTTAAACCTCTAGTAGCAGCAAGTGGGAGGGATCAGAGTTCATCTGCCTGTATGTAGTAGCTCACAGAGTTCTTGGATGTTAGTGATAACCCCTATAATAATGGGGTTCAGACGGGCCATAGTTATCTTATGTTCCAAGAGCAGAGCAGAGCAGAGCAATTGAGGCTCAACTGCGTATTAGTAGCTTACCTCCTTTTTCATAGAATGCAGAATTACCTCCCCATCTTTCGCTGTTATCTGCCTATAGGTGGACAGCTCAAAGGAGCTTTCTGATGGTTCCAGTGGGAATTCTCAGAAATAATTTGCTGAGGGTAAAGCTTGTGCATGTCAAAATGAAAAGGATAAAACAAGGAGGTGCAACACGGAGGCACATTTGTCCGTTGTTAAGTGTTGCCCACTTTCTTCCTTCCTTCCTTCCTTCCTTACTGAGGTTGGAGAGCCCATTCTCTCTGGGGAGCAGAGAACTGACTTTTAGGGCCCATACTGGAGCCAAAATAAGGCATTTCATTTTCTTAAGAAAGGAGCAGAGTTTTGTAGGCTGGGTCATATTTGAAGTGAGACATGCCTATCTGTAACTGGAAGGGAAGTTGAGAGTCTTATCAGGTTTCAACTTTTGATAGAGTTGTGTGAAGTACAGAAACAAATTTATTTATTTAAAAGATTTATACGGCCACCCATCTTAAAAAAAACCCCAATAACTCAACAGCAAGAAAGAAGAAATGCCTCAACTCCAAGGACTTCTACAGTTTAGATGCTTATGCTTTAGCTAAGTGCATATGGTAGCTTCTCCTTCTTTTTCTTCCTTTTTTCTCTCCCCTGTGCACTTTCTCTCTCTCTCTCTCTCTCTCTCTCTCTTGCTTGTTTTGTTTTTCTTCCAGAAAATCAAAGCGAGAAAAGGGGAAGGGTCAAAAAAGAAAGCGCAAGAGAGGCCGGTATAAACCACAGAATTTGTACGTTTTTGCATCATGTGCTTTTAGACTCTGCCCTTTATCCATTTCCTTCTATTCACCCCTCAAATCAAAACTCCTGCTTGCATTACATCTAATTAAACAATCAAAGGAGCAAATAATTTTCACTCACATCTCCAAATCACTTGTTATTGTGGTTGCACTATATAGTTTGGGGACATTGGGGAGCATATAGAAGCTGTGGTCCTTTTTTTTGTTTTTTCTTTGCTTGGGATTATTCTGGTTGTTTGAAGGCACAGTGACCTTAAAGGGACAGGCAAATTTCTCTTATTTCCACTCTTGCTTTTCCCCTAGAATGCTCTTACATGATTTCCCCCAACCCATTTCCATTAATTTCCTCTCGGCCTTCACTTGTAAACCTGTTGGTGTGGCAACAAGAGCTTCATTCTTTGTCTTTCATGCATGTTTGCCTGTGTGTGAGTGTATGGAGTCTGATGGAAACTACTAACCATTACCAGAGGGGAGCTAGAGGATTCTGGGAAAATTGGGGATTGTTCTCTCTTTCTCTCTCTGCTGGAATTGGGAGCCTTGTCTCTTTCTCTGTCTTTTCTGTATCTCAATTCACCAAATCCTGCATTTCCAGCAATTCTCAGTTGGTGGGGTGATGCAGGTGTGTGTGTGGGGGGGGATTTCAAGAGCTGCTGTTTTGATTCAATCCGTATGGAAAACAACACAACTTGAATAGGAGCAGCTGGGTTCTGAAGTCTGTTTCCTCTCTCTCTCTCTTTTTTTAAGACGGGGGTTTCTCTGTAGAAAAAAAGAGTTGCCCTTGAGTATTTTTTATTTATTTTTTGCTATTGGCTCAGAGACCTCAGTTAACAATAAGGAGGCTCTCCTTTCCACTGCAAATTGGACTAATGCAGGATTTGTGGATTGTGCAGTTGCAGAGAGCCCATTTCTGCCTTTTAAAAAGCTATTGCAAGTAAGTGTTGGAATGCCTTTGGGAGTGTCCAACCCCCCCCCCCCGCAGTGCTCTAGACGTGCAGTGTTGGGAGCGGGGGGGTGGGGTAAGGGGTGGGGGCAAGGGTTGCTTCAATGTGGTAGGGTGTTGCATGTGTACATTTCTTCTCGCTAAAGCGCTGTAGCTTAGACCTCTTTCCTTTTGCCTTTTTGCAGTCACTGTGAACCTTGCTCAGAAAGGAGAAAGCACTTGTACAAACAAGATCCCCTGACCTGTAAATGTTCCTGCAAATTCACAGACTCACGTTGCAAGTCGAAGCAGCTTGAGTTAAACGAGCGCACTTGCAGGTTTGTGTCCTAAAGAATGAAAAACAGCAAATAAACCCCACATACTACTCTCTCAGACATACTCATTCAATACACACACACACAGACACACAGACAGAGAGAGAGAGAGAGAGAGACAGACAGACAGACAGACAGACAGAGAAAGGAATTAGCTTTTGCTGGTTTCTAGTGCCATTATTCTTCTTTTCTTCTGCTTGGCCAGTCGGGCAAGAGGGAAAGAGATGGTGTAATCTGCCTAAAGTTTAAAACTTCCCTTGTTCTGGCAGAGTTGAACTGAACTGTCTGTCAGTAGGGTGATGATAGATAATCTAGAATACATCTCTTAGGGAACAAGGTGGCTCCTTCCACATTGCTAGCGCTCAGGAGAAATCCTCAAAAGACTTTTATGCAGTCCTTGTATAATGCAACTGGCTGTTTTAATGAGATTGCCAGTCTTTTTTTTGCCTCAAAACAAAGATTTTGTCTCTAAATCCATTTTTAGAGACAAAAGACCTGCAATGGATTAAATCTATGTGGGACTGAGTCATAAATCCAGACATGCATTCTTTCCTGCACCTCTCTTTTACCCTAGAGTGTGTGTTTTTTTTAAGAAGAGTGCATGCTTAGCCCTTTCCTTCTCTGTATTATTTCTGTGTGTTCAGAAGAGTGAATTGCCTGGAAAAAATACCTTGGCTAAAGCTCAGGTGGTCAAAGTAAAAACTCAGGATATCTATCCCAGATGGATACCTTACCCGGTGTCGGGCAGATGGCATACTGTCATCTGAGTTACCTGCTTTGTGGCTGCAAATGTCAGCCTACCCGCCCCTAAGTATGGTTCTGAAAAGGCAGAACACATTTGCTGTGACTAGATTAGATCTCTGAGAATATTGCATGAGGCTCTACCTTTCCTAGAACATCAGAAATGCTCACCTAGAGCCAGGCTGATGGTGCTAGGCTTTATACGTGTATAGATATCATGAAGCTCAGTTCTCTGCCTGGGCAAGGACTTGAGACATGGCTGCATGTGTAGAGGAAACATGTGAAGATCTGTAATCTGAGTGTGGATGCCTAGTACCGCAGCGTGAAGAGAGCCAGCACTTCTTGAGTTACAGTCCACCGTGCAGAAGTAGCCCCTGGAGAGAAACCAGACAGTTGTCTGACCTTGACCTTTATAGTATCCCCTCAAATTAACCAATGAGAAGTTTGAAATAATCCTTGAAGTAAGTGCCATGCTATTCCCAAGGGAAGAAGGGGGGGGGGGAAGGAATGGCTGATTAAGAAATTGCCCCAGCGTAGGACCAAGGCCAGCATTCAGGTTGCCCTCGAGGAGTGCCAGACGATAGGTTGGATTGTTTTGGCTTTGGCAGCTGCTGGGTTGCTTCAAATGAACTCTTCACTGCAGGGAGGAAATCTGGACTCAGAAGGCACAGCTGGCTCTTCGTTTCCTGGTTTTTGCACAGCTGCTGGGGTTGCTGCTGTGTTTTTAGGCACTAATCTCTGCCTCTGCAAGCAGCGGAATTTAAGCTCTTTGTTTCTCCCCCTTTTGCTGGCACAGGGCACCCCGGCTTGCTTTGACTGCACCTCTTTAAACACACAGCAAAAAGAGGTTAGTGTGGTGAACAGGGTAGGCAATCTCTATGTAGGTACGAGAGAGAGAGTTATGCCAGGATGTAAAAAAAAATCAACCTTGGAGATGCAGGAGTTCTTAATAGTATTCTTATCTGTGGGGAGAAAACTGGAGCAAATGCAGTGGCTTTTTCTTTTTTTTTTAAAAGAGCAAGTCCTGTTGGTCCCTATATAGGATTTTGATCTATTCTGTGGCAAAACACTTTCGCCAATCTTTTAACCCAAGAGGTTCCTTCTCACCTGTTAATGCCGTATCTGTTTGGAGACTCCCACATAACCTCTCTCCTCCCTTCTCTCTTCTCCTTCACAGATGTGAAAAACCAAGGCGGTGAGCAGCAGGGGAAGAAAGGGAGTGCGGGAGCAGCCTTGGTTCTGGAGCCTGACATCTCACCTGGTCAGAAATTGAAAACAAACACTAATCCAAATGAACACTAAAAATGAAGGATCAGCAGCGCACAGCACTTTTGAGTATGGACGATAGACTCTGGAAGGAACATTCCCTGAGGACCCGCGCAGGATTCACCTTTCGGTTTTGAACTGGTTTTACAGAAAAACTTTCCTTCTCATGCTGCTAAGATATAGAGCCAGGGAGAGTGGAGTGATATATGCTTGGGACTCCCCATACACATGAAGTATATGTATATGTATATGAATATGTATGTGTATATGTATATATACTGAATTTCTAAAACATTGCTAACATTATTGGTGTCTTCACTGGATATACTCAACTGCTGTGGACACAAGTGGGCTATTTGGGACATAAGAAAGAAACTACGACTGGACTCCAGTCAATACTGCTCAATATATTCTTCATATTCTTCCTGACCCTCTAAAGCCTGCTGGTCTCATTTCCTCTCCCCACTCTCCTGCCCCAGTCCCGTGCGGTGAAACATTTGTGCGAAAAAAGAGATGGCAGGGGATTCTCAAAATGGCACCTTGGAATACTGTGGGTCAAAAGGTCAAGGAAATAACTCTTTAAATGCTGGAATCAATGAATCAATCAAATTCTCTTCTTCTTGAAAATCTCTTCTGAATCTGGCTCACAATCTGCTGGCTTCACTGAGGCGTTGGTGTATATTTTTGTATTGACTTGCTGCAGGAACATTTTGCCACAGATAACGTGTTTTGGCCTTAATGATGGGAAATGGCTGACGTTTGGACTTGTCAGCTCAAGGAGGCGTCCCTGGAAACCTGCCATCCCTGTTGGCTACTTAAATAATGGATGTTATTTTGGCAGAAGGAGACAGAGGAAAGAAGGGGGGAGTAACAGAGAGCCGGGCAGTTGAACCAGCACTGTCAACCATCATTATGCACAGAGCTGCCACTGAAGATACTTCTGGAACTTCTCTGGAAAGGGATATTAATCTAAAGTATATATGCGCAATAGACAGGACGTGTGAGTGTGTGTGAGTGAGGGGGTATATACATACAACTGTATAGGTTTTTTTTGTGCCTAATAAGTTTAAAATTGGCTTGTTACATTTTGGGCCTTTGAGGGAAAAGCTGGCGAGAGCTTACTCTTTAGCATTGTAAATTTATTATTCTCAGTCATGTACCGTGAATTATATTAAGACACAGTGTTCTTTGCTGGACTTGTGATGTAGGACTTATTCCACCACAAAAAAAAAATAGCATAGAGTCTCCCCACTGTCAATAATATCTGGATAATTTGGCCCATCCATCCAGATATGACTTGCGTGAAGGGTCAGTGGGGCTCTACACTGAATTCCAGAGTTACTCTGCTCCCCGTGTTGACAGAAGAACTTCTGAATTAAAGAGGGACCTTGTGTTGCATTCTAAAGCAACCCTCATGACTTCCTCACTTAAGAAGATTCTACAGTTAAGTTAACAGATAATATGGGGAATGGGAGGAGCAGAGTGATTTTGGGGCAGTTCTAAAGGTGTTGTCCAGTTATTCACTGCATGAGCTGAAATAATATTAAATAACACTGCTATGAAGCAGATTTAAGAAGGAAGACAAAACCACCATACTTCCCTCTGCCCTTAAAGTTGTACCTATTCCCAAATTAGGCAATTCACCTTGACTTTTTGACCTTTACTTTTGAAGTGCCCATTGTAGACATTACAAAGTGTGATTGTTTTACCCAGTTTCCCCATTGACCTATACAGACCAGCAATGTAGGCTTTTGGTTAGCCTCCCTCAATCCAAGCCTTTCCGTAGCTGTTAGACTTCAGAGCCAATATTCCGAATCAGCAAGGCAAATAGGTTGAGAAAAGTGGGAATTGCTGTTGAATAGTTCTCGAAGGTAGCAGATTGGGGAAGGCTATCAAGCTTTTTCTGTTAAGTTTCTTGAATGGTTGATTGCTGTGTTATTCTGGTAACAGTTTGGGATCTAGTTGAATAGCCTTAAGTGCTTCTATGCAAAAAGATTTAAGTTCAGGTGCATACAGAATCTGATCTAAGTCCCGGGGTTAATAGCATTTTAACATGCTTGGATTTTGATTCATCACCAAAAATCTAAGCCAGTGTAAATCTGACGAAAGGGGGAGAAATGATGGTTTTCTTTTTTGCATATAGATCCAAAATAAGTGTTTTTATAACTGTAACCAAGGCAGTCTACAGTATATGTAACTTTCCAAGACATTAGACAAAGCTCTGATACCAGGCAATTGGCAAGATTCCATTTAACTCTGGTTTGAAAATGTCCTTTGAACAATGTTTCTCAAATTGGCAACTTTTAAATATGTGGACTTTTAACTTCCAGAATTCCTCAGTCATGGGAGATTCTGGCAGTTGAAGTCACACAACTTAAAGTTGTCAGGATTGAGAAACACTGCCTTAGAATATGGGACTTGGACCAGCCAATCTTGATTTGTTGAGATTCAGTTTTAGCAATCAATAATTGTTCTTGGGGAATCAAGCTATAATTCTCAGTGCCTTGCATATAAACACTTGAAACACCAAAGCATCTCCCAGGTCAACAGGCATTTAATAGGTATTTGGACAGTAGGTGATAGGGCGGATTTTTTAAAGGCATCTATGCATGTCTGAAGTGATTTGACTTGTCCAAAGATTACATGGCTTCATCTTGCTTTGCTGGGAAATGCAAAATGATACCGGTTGACAACCTCTGAGTACCATTCTCAGTTAAACTTTCTGCATTCCCAGATCAAATACATAAGGAGCATTGAGGCTGCTGGACGCCACTGAATCTGCAAGGACAGGATTCCCATTTTTCTTCCTGCATGGAACTTTGTTGGGCTATCACCAGGCAGCACGCCATACAGCTACTTTAATTTCAGATCAGCATTGCTGCCATGGGAAGGCTATTGCTGTATGGTGTATATGTGATGCTTCCGTAGGTTTTTGGTTGCTATGAAGTTAGTGAATCAACTCTGAAGAGGATGACTCTGTATATGTTTGAGGGGTGTATGGGACAGAATCCCAGCATCTTTCCCTACCAGTGCGAGATCCTCCTTGCCCTTCTCCTTCTCCTTCCCCATCTTTCTCTTCCTGTCCCTCTCTTTCCTTAAGACATGTAATGTTGTCTGGCCATCTGTTTGGCATTGTCAGAACATTTATCAATCCATTATTGGAGACTGATTGCATAGCTGCGTCTGCAAATGTAGAGCATTAATCTGGGTACCTGGAAAGTTGTGTCTCATTGCCTTCATTGGACTGGAATGTGTGCCTGCTTCTCAGTCTCTGGGTTTTTTTTTTGGGGGGGGTACTATACTTGGTCCATGTCAGAATCCTGCCAAATGCTTGTCTGTTTACAGAAAAGCAAGAAAAACTGGCCTTAAATCAGCCTTTGATGAGTGTTTATTAACCACTATAAAATCCCCCTCTAGCTGATAGAAATCTGGTATGCATTCAGTTTGTATGTGTGTGTGTCTGTGTGGGGATGTGTGTGCGTGTGCACACATGTATAACTGAAATGTATATATTCATGCTGTGTGAGGCGACGTTCTATATACTTGTTTAATATCCCTTTAAAATTAGAAATTAAAAAGTAATAATAATTTAAATTAGGTATTTTTCAGTATTCTTTGTTTAATATTTAATTTTACTATTTATAAGTTGTACCTCTTTTTTTGTACTGTTATGTATAAATTTTTAACTCTTCTGTTTCAACCAATCTTCCCCAATTGTTGAGAAAGTGAATAGCATGATCAGTTATTTAATTAATATCTTAACACTCATCCCTACACATTCCTTTTCAGCAAAGTTTATACATCTACATATATATATATATATATATATATATATATATATATATATATATATATATATATATATATATATATATATATATATATATATATATATATATATATATATATATATATATATATATATATATATATATATATATATGTTTATGTATATGAGTGATTAATTAGACACTACATTTTTTATATATGTAAACTTTTCTTCTGCCCCAGATTATAGAAAATTTAACTATCATTTTATTTATTGGTGCTACTGTTTTTGTGTACTGTGGCTAGAAAAAAATCAGTAGCCACACTGGCTAATCTCAAGATTCCATAAAAAAATATTTATTTTTAGACAAAAATATCTTTAAAAAAAACACCATCTATGTTTTTTTTGTTTTTTCCTTTTTTTTGTAATAAAGAATTTAATTCACACTTGTTTTCTTTTTTTCTCCTCCCCTCTCCCATTTTGCATGAATTTTTCTGTTTGACGTTTTGGTTTTGCTAATTGGCTGCAAGGGTGGAAAAAAGCCCAAACACGCTTAGGAACCATCAGAATATATTACCAGAAAGGAGGATAATTCTTAATGCAAGTTGAAACAGGTTGTTCCCTGCAACCCCTTTAAGAAAAAAATTAACTTCTCTTATAGAGAACGTACTGTATAGATGTAACTTGCTATAACACCATGCCTTCTATGCAGAATGTACATTCATTTGAGTGAGTAGTATCAGTTTGAACAGGCATTCTCACTGGGCACTCGAAAGCCCTACAACTAAATTAACTGATGACTTTCATAAAGCAGTGTCTTTGGTTTAACCATGCGGAAATGCATCTCCCTGTTACCATACCTGCATTTGGGCTCCTAATCTGCACTTGAGATTTGAGGTGTTTGTAGAAGGAGGATGCTTGGCTGGAGGGTGCTGGAATGCCGAGGGAACCAAAAGTCTTCTCTGAGGAGTAGATTCATTGGTACAATGTTGGACCTTCCATAAGATACACACCGAAGCTGCAAATGGAAAGGTTGTTTTCCCCCCCCACAAAAGGAATATAATTCTAGGCAGGAATGGCTTTTCAAAACTCATAGAGGAAAACAGACATCAATTTAAAATGAAAGTGCATGTCCTTTCATAAGGCAATTGCTTCATGACATAAAACAATTCTAAATAGGATTTCTTTAGCTGTATGATGACGGAACTGTTTTCTGTGGCTTTGCAAGATGAAAAAATATTGTGCCCCTCACCTCCCTGTCAGTCTAAGGGTTGTATATCGAGCTGCCCAGAATCACTTTGGATAGCAAATAGATGATAGATAGATAGATAGATAGATAGATAGATAGATAGATAGATAGATAGATTAGATTAGATTAGATAGATAGATAGATAGATGATAGATAGATAGATAGATAGATAGATAGATAGATAGATAGATTAGATTAGATTAGATAGATAGATAGATAGATAGATAGATAGATAGATAGATAGATAGATAGATAGATAGATAGATAGATAGATAGATAGATAGATGATAGAGGTCTTCTGGGAATTGATGCACATGTTGGTTACATGTGCTTAGAATCTGATCCCAAGGTGTCTTCTTGATCATGTGTGGACGAATACCGGTTTTACCAAGAGTAGCTTATCAAGTCACAGGTCATA